AATGTAATGTACGTAAATTTTCCCTCTTCCAATTTTTTTTCAAAAAGATGTTAAAGAATTAAGTCTGAGGAGAGTCAACTAAAATTCGTGTTAAAATCTAGTACACTTTCCTAGAAGTAATTATCTAATTAAAAGTCTACTTTACATGTTTTCTAAGAAATTTTGATCCGAACATCAATCTTTCTTTGTAATAAATGTCATGTTCTTTTGAGGTTTTTCCTTCGAATTTTTTATATGATATTTGACAGTGATGTATGTAGATAATTTAAATGTAAGTAAACATATAATTATATTTATTATTACGTGAAACAATATTCGAATAAGCTGGAGTCTACTAACTAAAACTAACTCAACAGAAAGCTACAGGAGGTCTCGCTTTGACCAATTTGTGTCCCGACAACCTGAAGTTAAAGCCAATTGTAAATGTAATTCTGCGAGAGATACAGGACCGTTGTAAATTAATTTCGCCACAATCCAGTGAACTTCTATACTGATTATTCTGGTATTGGTTTTCCGACTTACCATCGCTTTTTAATCTACTGATATGCTTAGAAATATATTTCAAACGAGCTGTTGCCCGCGACTTCGTCTGCGTGGTATTAGAAAACATACGAATTATATAAATAACAAAAAGCTACGTACCTCTCGGGAACCGGACATTTCTCGAGGATGAACCTTATCCTATGTGTACTCCAGACTTTGTTTTATATCTGTGCCAAATTTCAATAACCTATGTTGAACCGTTGCAGAATGATCGAGTAAACATTAAAAAAACTAAATTATCAAATTCCACGGGAACCGTAACTATTTCCGGCATAAAAAGTAGCCTATGTGTTCTTCCAGACAATGCTCTAAAGCTGTGCCAAATTTCATGGAGATCCGTTCAACCGTTTAGGCTACAAACGCTTACAAACATCAATCCATCCATCTAAACTTTCGCATTTGTAATATTAGTAAGATTGTATTTATCCCTTTATTTGACATAAGTGTTTTATAGTAGACTCGCTAGTAATTAGTAGTAGTAGCTAGTAATTGCCTAAATCGTGACCGTCTCTGGTAAGACAACAGTTAGAGCATTAATTCTAGCGCAAACTGGAACCTAGTTTTGAATTTCGTTTATCAATGAATCTGGCTTTATCTCTTAGCTGTAAACCTCTTCATTTTCGTATTATTTTCATGTTTTTTTAGCGAATATAGACAAATAAAAATAGAAGTAGTACGTTATTTATTTGTCTTTTTTTAATTATTGACGCTTTTACAAGGCTTTTTACATGAGTACAGCAATGCCTTATTTTCACATTCAAGCGGTAAAGTGATGCAGGCGACCAGTGTTGTTAAAGTTGCGGTTGACGCGGCCCGCATATAAAAGACAGGTGGTTTGTGTTGCTCTACTGATGCATCTGTAGCCTTTGTAATTAAGCTTTTGCAAATTCGGTTCATTCGTGTTTAATTTATGGAAAGTTTTGTTAAAGCACGCGATTATTTAACTGATTATTGCTTCTTTCACTTAAAATCTCACTAATATCATAAATGCGAACGTTTAGGTCGATGGATGGATGTTTGTAAGAGTTTGAAGTTTAAACTGCAGAACGGATCTCGATGAAATCTGGCATAGATGTAGAGGGTAGTCTGGAAAAACACATAGGCTACTCACATTTGTTTTTTTAATTCCACGCAAAAAGTCGCGGGCGAAAGTTAGTAAGTAATAAATGTTCCTCTGCGTTTCTAATTTTTTTAACTATTGCTATACTGCTAATTCATTAAACTTTCGAATAGATTGATTAGTTATTTAATGAAATTGGGGCATAGAGATATGTCGTACAGAGTGGCTCTAAAGGAAATATGTATCTAAAATGTAGAAAGTCATTGGTACCTGGGTGACCTGCTCTTTGCCAAATGATCCGAAAGCCGAGGTCACTGGGTCACCTCGGTTGTTACCGCGATATGCTTTTTAAAGCGTCTTCTACTTTACTCTACTGCTTTTAATTTATTTTTGCATACTGTTCACCTTTAATTAATGATATCGACATTTAATTATGTAACATTTCTGTTTAGACACATATAATGTATGATCACAGTCCTTATTATAAAACCATCATAAAATGCAATCTCACTAATATTATAAATGCGAAAGTTTAGATGGATGGATGTTTGTTAGAGTTTGTTGTCTAAACCGCTAAACGGATCTCGATGAAATTTAGCATAGATGTAAAGCATAGTCCGAAAGTACTATATGTACTACATTTTTTTTAAATTCCACGTTGTACAAATTACTTACCGCACGTCATCTGAAGAAAGCCGATATCAGGAGTACACGTAGACGACGAACATGTATGTATGAAGAAACAAGAGTCGTGATCGGATCACACCAAATGATAAAACCTATAATCTCTGCTCACCCAAGGCTAATGAAACAGCGCCCTTAAATACAAGATTGTAGAAAAGAACTTTCATCCGAATGTTTTTTTTTTTATTCTAACCTATCATTAAATATTTCTTTACTGTCGTGTTTCTTTTTATGCAGTTTTTACGTACAGTTTATTTTGAATATTAAGTTTATATTTTTGCCTTCTTTGAGGTAGACTTATCAATTTTACCAACCACTGATACCCTACTCATTTGGCAAAAATTTACTAAAGCAAATAGTTATTATAGAATTTAACCCTAACATGCCCATAAAGCATTAATACGTCAGTCTTTTCTTCCTTCCACAATATACTATTTTGAAAAAACATTCTGTTTATTTTTACCTTAATATATGTTCAATTTACTACCGGTTTCAATTTATGGAATTTAAAAAATCATACATATAAGGGACAACTATAGAGAAACTTAAGTATTATATTACCAATTGTAGGACATTCTCACCTTACCCTTAGTATTAGCCAGCAGGCGCTTCAATAGCATTCAATATTAAATCTCATACTAAAGAGTGCAAAAGAAAATCGTTCCACATTTTTCTCAATGTAGCCAGGTTTTTATATTTCCGCCCAGGTTATGTATTGCTTTGTTTGCTACCTCACTTATTATAACTGCATTACAGTAGTGCAGATTAAGTGTCAGGATGGGGGAGAATGAAAAGTCTATTTTGTGCAAGGTACGTTTACCACGATTTATTACATAAAACAGCGATCGAGGAAATGTATCGGCGGCCTAGAGGCGCGG